GTGTGTCAACTGTCCATTCAGTCAGCTTGTTCGAACCATTTAAACACTCCTCCGTCCTTGATCAAGGAATCAGGACAGGGTGTTGCCATGGAGACCCAGCTCTATAACAGTTGCCACAGCGATTAGAAGAAGAGCTGAGCTGAAGTGGTTGTTAGGGCGACTGTGAAGAGAGTGAGAAAGTGAGGCAGGGAGGCGCCTGGTAAATACACAGGAAAACAAGCAGAGGGGTTAAGTTGAGAACCCCCGCGTGTGCTCCACCCTGTCAGCACGGAGCAAATCAAACGTGTCCCCCCCCCCCCCTTGTCAAAAAAACATCCCCTAACTGACTCAGCTCCAGAGAGCAGGAAATTACTCATTTCCTCACAACAAGTAGATGTCAGATAGATGCGTCTTTATTTGGTAAACAGTAAAAAAAAAAAAAAATTGAGCCTCAAAAGAGGAAGCAAGGCAAAAAACGGAGTAAACAAAACTCACCTCTGACAAGTTGGAAAGCAAGTCAGTCTCAACCCAGCAGGTTTTAACTGGGCTAACACAGAGCCTGTCACGTTGCAACAAGCCAAACTAAAGAGCTGGCAGCTGGCCCTCTTGAAGGACATGTTGCCTACATGCATACAGGTCACCCGTCCCTTGCCACTGCTGCTGACCTGGAATCACTACCTCTTCTGGGTTCAGTTAAGCCTTGGCAACAGATCATTTCCTTAAAAGCCTAAAAAAAGGCAGCTCTCTACGGGCCACCGAGGCGTACAGGATTGATTAGTGGCACACTCTGTCCAGGCACAAGTATGTCACCTCTCCAGGGAGGGACGGGCCAGTAAACAACCACAGACTTGGTCTTGGTGTCTGAAGCAAATCAGCAGTAATAGCTTTTCACAGCAAAGTAGAATATGGGCAGCAGGACTGGAAGAGTTGGTTCTGGTTTGTGTGACGTGAGCTCGAGCTTCTTCATGTAGCAGAATGATGTAAAACAAACTCATAGATTGGTTGGTTGAGTTAGCCCGGAGGTTTTCGAGGTGCAGAGGGAGAGACGTGAGCGAGTTGAAGGAGACAGCTGCATGCTGGTTTTCTTAAAACAATGGGAAGTTATTGTATTTGGCGCGTTGATTCTGCCGTGTAGTACTTTCACATCCTTATTTGCTTCAATAACCACTGACTTAGGTTTGAAAAAAACACTCCTTATATTGCAGAACGTCCCTGAGAATCATTGCGTTCACAATCATTCGCACACTGAAAACTCCTAGGTTAGCTGCCGCCCCATTTGACTACTGTGCATCTGCTGCGCCAACATTTTAACACACGTTAGACGGTGAGTGTGCAGGCAGTTAATTTTGGGGCGAGCGTCAGCAACAAAATAACTAGCTTCACCCAAACTTGTGGTTAGAGAAAATCCAGCATGATTACATATAATTTCGACAGCAACAAAGTCTAAATTAAGCCACGCTGAGGAGGTCTAATGTCACAGCACCAAGATGTGACCCCGTTGACTCACAGCATGACAGACAGGACACAAATACAGACACAGGAAGCTGAGTGAATAGAGTGTCATGAACTCCATCTTACCTATCCAAACATCATTGCCAAACCAGGAGAGGTTCTTCTGAGAGCTGTCATAGTAACCGATCTTCTTGTAACTGCCTCCTTTATGGTTGAGAAAGAGAAGCAAAACATGGAGTGAGAGAGTGAAATAAAAGCACAAAAGTCAGAAAGATAAAGTTGAATTAGTATTGCCTGTGTAATTCATTTTCTCTGCTGTTGTGTTGTGGGGGGATCAGGTTTTCAAACAATACAACAAAACTCAACAGAACTGATAAATATTTATATTCATGCAAACCCTGTAAAGATATTTTTCTATCATTCCTGTGCTTTCATATTAATGGAATGCGTGAGTACAGAAATATACACACAATGAACAGATAAAAGAAATGAGGAATGAAAAGGTGCATAAAGAAGGACAAACAAAGAAGTACCAAGGGGAGGAGAAGGAGAAAAGGAAGAAGAAAAAAAAAGGAGCTTATGTGGCGGTCTTGACCAGGAATACTGATGAGGTCGCACAGTGATTCAGGGATGCAAGTCAGGTCGTCTCATTGTGGATGTCAAATTACCTCGACACCACAACAGGAAATATGAGACAGAGCGTGAGGGGAAAGGGGCAGGATTATAAATTCTCATCTTTTAGGACGCCAAAGAGAACAGAGGTAGAAAATAATCCTAACCTTATCCTGTGCGGGGAAACTCATTAAGTCACTGGTGACAAATAGGATGCCATTTCCAGTAACGGCTTAAAACGAAGGCTTGTGCCCAATTAGAGCAGAGCCTAGAGTCAACACATTCCTGCATCAAGCCCATTCGCATGTTCAGTTGTAAGACACTGAGACCAATCGCAGTGCGGGCCACCACAACCCCCCCACCCCCCAAAAAAAGAGATATTGCTCTGGAATGAGCTGAAAGCAACAATCGATACATGATGAATACAGTTAGCGGTGGCTGTTTTTGATGAATAAGTGAAATTTAGTGTTCAGACGAGATTCTGAAATATCTGCGGGAGGACAGTGTGGGAGTGTTTTACCTTGCAGTTGCTCGATAAGAGTCATTGCCATCCTGGAACCCTGGGCGTCAAACACCACTTGGCCCTGAGACACAGACAGGAGGAAGTGTTTTAACCGCAAATGATTAACTCCTTTCTTAAAGGAATTGTTTGACATTTTGATAAATACACAAAGCTAAGTCTAGCTAGGACAGATTAGTTTAGCTTAGGACACAGACAGGAAACAGGGGAAACAGCTAGCCTAGCTCTGCCGAAAGTATAGTAAGATTGTACTGAGCAAGGTAACTGCTGAGATCGGGGAACGTGGCGGGTAACTCTAATGTAGTCTAGATACTAGTTAGTGTCATGTACAGAAGTAAAGTCAAGGACTGCACCATAGCAGTAGCAGGTGGTGGAGCCAGTGTTTAGTTTGTCCTGCTGGGCTACTGTAGAAACATGGCAGTGCAACATAGAAAATGATCCTTAATTTCTGATTATTATACACTAATAAAAACATACTTATCAATATTATATTCAATTTCTGCCATATACAAGAGATATCCCTAAAGCTTACACACTGGGCCTTTAAAAGAAAAAAATAAGTGATATGCTACATCACTGATGGTGATATCAAACACATTTTGTAATTTGTTCATTCTCTTTACACAAACATTTCACATGTCAGGGACTTGAAATGAGTGTGTCTCAGTTTGATCACCATGAAAAGCAACAACAGGAATTATATGGATCAAAAATACAGCTGTCAAAACACCTGTAAAAATCACTGCATATTCATATATGATAAATAACTATAAGGTACCAAAATTAGAGAATAAACATCTGTTTTTATTATCTATACTTCTTTCCCGTCTTTTTTCTCATCCTCATCTCTCATCTACTCACCGAAACTCCTTCAAAAGAGCTCGTGTTGAGGGCCCTGTAGATCTCAGAGGTAATATCATGGTTGTTATAGTTGAAATCCTCCAGTCGTCGGCCCTTGGCTTTAAGTGGTGCCACGGTCTTATTGAGGGCAAGGGCCAGAGCCCACACTGCATCATAGGCTAAAGGGGCCTCCTGAAACCCACCAGTCTCCTCTGGGTTCATCCCACCCAGACGAGACATCAAGGCAGCGATAAACTCCTGCGATGTCTGATAGAAACAGGACAGAAAGGATATCAAAGAGGAGCCCTTCTGAAGATAATGTTAAGGAGATTTTATATTTATATTTCTAGACATAATATATCTATTTCTCAATGGCTGTAAAAGACTGTAAAAGCAATGCAGTGGTGAATTGTCTCAAACACTTACAGTCCTACATGAACACACAATGCTCCGTGGCAGTTGATGTTGTATGACAGGATTTCTTTAAACTTAAATACAATCTGAAACCACAGTTTCAAGGAAAGGAAACGCTGTTGGTAAGAAGTGTGACACTTTTTTTAACCCCCATGATAAAATCGAGGTGATGGACTAGATCCACCCCAGTGTGTCCACCTATCATGAACAGTATTTTATATGCCAAAATATATACAAATCTAGACAAAGCAAAATATGTCACCATTTCTAAATGCAGAGTTAGGGTTAAGTTTTGTCTTATGATAACACCAGATTAGCATTTTGTGCTAGCCAGGGCTACAAGAGCTCCTGGGCTGACTAGAGGGCACTTAATCCTTAATAGCCTCTATTGAGGGGTAGTGAAGCTGACCAGAGGCCACCACTTGGACCACTTAAGTGCCCGACATGTGGACAGTATGTGCTATTATTTAAAAAATGAAACAGAAGAGGCGTCTTGGCATTCAGAGCAATGTCGCGGCTGCAGCTTGACATTTTTAAAGGAATATTATCGACATTTTGTAAAATATGTTTGCTCTTGCTTTCTTTATGAGAGTTCATACAACTCACATGCCTGTACACTAAATGTGAATTAACTCAACCAACAAAATCCACCTAGCAAACAACAAGTTGCGGTTTTACAAGGTTTATGGTGCTGGACATCATGACCTGGAGCAGTGGCTTTCTGAAATAGTCCAGTGAATAACTCCCTGGAAAACCACAACTCTGCATGTGTACATTTTGTTTTTGTCTGGATTAAACAAACTAAATATTTGTTAATTAATTATTGAGCTATAGGTGTGATGGTAGGCCTATTTTTACCAGGCAGAAGAACCAGACTAGCTGTTTATAGTTTCATATTTAGTGTACATCAATCTTATCATCTAACTCTTGGCAAGAAAGCAAATAAGCATCTACAGAAAAATTTTGAACTACTTCTAATTAAAATATGCTGCATTTACCTAAGAAAGGGTAAAAATATTTAGGTTTGTTACATACAGAGGCAGTTTTCTTCTAATATTAAATTTACCCCTTGAAGCTGTAGGTCATTAAGTGAGGTGCTATGCTTATTTTTTATACTGTCTCAGAAGTAGATTATTTTTTACTTGCTTTCAACTTGACATTTAATGCCAATATAATACACCCACATCTGGGTGCAGCTGGGAATTAAGAAATTCAATTTAGGGATGCAAGATAATTATCAGGGTTAATAATGGAAAATTTCTGTTAATAAAAAAACTATTGAGAGAATTAAATTACAGCCAACTAATTATTGGTCTATAATAATAATAATTTATAATAAATTGTTGCTCTTGTATGAACAACAGTGTTTTCAGTTAGACTGGGTCAGAACTGATAGGATATATGCTATGAAATGCTAAATCATCTATCTTTGCTCACTACATCTTAGCCTTTCTTGCCATCAGGCGTGTAAAACCTACAGGTCATCAACTTCTTTTTAAAATACAAAAATGTGAAACTATCTAATAACGGCCATGGGAAGCAGGTAATTATCATTTAATGTGTCTGCTGAAAAGAAAATCTGTACTTTACATCCCTAATTCAATTATTTAAAATGAAGAATTTTTACACATAGAGCAAATATTACTGATTCTGTGAACTTAAAATCTTTATACCAACTTTATAAAAAAGTATTCTTTTTTGTTGCGAGTGCACAATTAATGTGTTTAGACGTGTTTCTGTAATTAAACACAAATAAAAATGTTCTCCCTCTGAAAGCGGGGATACATGTGTGGAAATTATTGCTACCAATCATCATGGTGACCCTGTGGATTGTCTGAGGCCAATTAGGCCTACACACCCCCAATTCACTTATGTCAAATTCATCTCATTGAAATTCCACTTCGGCATTTGGCATTTAAATCTGCCACTACCTACTGAAAACTAGCTGACAATGTGCTATTGCAGACCCTGCGGTATCGGCACACTAGCTTCATCTGAGTGCTCCATCTAGAAGAAATATGCCAATTTCAAACTTGGAAATTGAATTTGAATAGATTGACTATGAGCAGGAGTTCTGGCTGTAATTCTTATCACCCGTTGAGCAGCACGTCAACAGCTAAATCAGCAGGTAGTGGCAGGTGCTGTATGAATATAAACAACAGCTGCTGATGAAGTGCAAGAGAGGGAAGGGGGGATAGAGGAGGGGGAGGGGGAAGGAAAAGGGGGATGGTGGAAAAGGTGGGGATGAGGAAATGAAAAGGAGAAGGGAAAAGAGAGGTGGGTAAACAAGCAGAATAAAAGGATGATCCACCATAGACCAGCAGAGTCAGAGAAGGTCAAACAATGGGAGAGATGGAGAGAGGAAGAGACAGTTTAAGAGGATTAGAGAAGGTGAACAGAAGAGAGCGACGAGTGAAAGAGAAGCAGAGAACGACAGTTACCTGGGAAGCTAAACGAGGGTAAAAACTATAAAAGATGTTCAGAAAGAGTGTGACAGCGGTAAACATCTGTGTTTCTACCCTCTGTCTGTGGATTAGGAAATATAATAGTGATTCAGGTCATACGCAGTTCGTTAAAGCTATGACATTATTATTCTCAGTCACTGGTCTTTCCTGGAAAAAAACTGTATCTCTATGGGAATTGACCCGTTTTACATAGATGGCAGAAGACATTTGTTAGGGATAAGGATAAGAAGAGCTCAGTGGTTAGAAAGAGCAGTGTAAGCCACGCTGGATGTACAAACAAAGAGGTCAAACTACATTAACAAACTTCCAAGGAGGAAGACATGGAAGGCAGAAGGAAAGTCAGGAAGAAATGAAAAACTAACTAACTAAAAAAAATCACAATTTTACTGTATTTGGGGCTTTTTTGCAGCCATATGCAAGTGCAAACACTGTAGTTTATTTTTATTTTGTTTTATTAGTGAGACTGGTACATAATCAGCATCACATTTGCACCCCATTTTTCTTTTCACCTTTAGAGTGCAAAATACAGGTGATAATTGGTGTAAACCAGTCTGTTCTTTTTTTGAGTATCTAAATTTATATGTTTGAAGATTGTAGGTACTTCATGATGGATGTTCGTGCAGCATTTTCTTCCCTTTCATTACTTCTCATATAAAATTATTCTGATTTAGCTTTTTGTATTGATTCAGCCCCCGTTTTTTGTGATATGTTTGTATAATGCATTTGTGGCAGGTTCCCATGTATTTGGACCATGGGAAATTCCATTGGGAACTCTATTTCCCAGGTGTACTGTCTGACAAAGCACAGGGGTGCCCTGTTTATGTCAATATAAGCTCATTAAACACTTGCATTGGACCTAGGTGCCTTAAGTATTTTGCATTGTGAAGTATAACTCTCACTTCACTCTATAACACAAATGTGACTTATTTATCAATTTCAAGCTGTTGATGTTACAATTCAATGTCACTAATTTAACATCAAATGTGACTTAATATCTATTTAATATAATCATCACAGTAGTGGGAGAGAACAATTTATTGTGTGTTCCCACCATGTTGGAGACGCCGCGGACAGTCTCAGGATTCAACATGACAATCTCGGTTGTCACATGTCCCTCCACGGCCTCCGTCATGTTCTCCACTGTGCAGTTGATAGCTGGGTCTTTGATCTTGAACCAGTTGTCTGCGTACCAGCCTATCAGGAACCAAACATACTTCTTCCCATAGAGCTTCTCCTTGAACACCTGCAGCAGCCAGGGGAGGGAGAGAGGCAGATATGGAGGGTGGAGGAAGGGAGGGAGAGAGAGAATGATAAATAAGCATGAGGAGAATTGTTCCCAGAGATGTGTTGAGCATGTTGTATCACTGCCAAACAAGGAAATACATTCAGACATTCAAACAGCTCATTACAGAGCTCAATTTCTGCTAATAGCCAGTCAGGTTCAGTCTACTGGGATCAGTTGAGTGGGAAAAGGTACTAACCTCACAAAACACCTTCCTGGCTTCAGTCTCATAAAAAAGCCCCACGATGATCCTCGCATCCTGGCGCTGCATCAAAACATGGAACAAACAAAACATTGCTTAGTTACATCAGTATCAGCAATAAAATTTCACTATAGCACAGCTTGATGTGGCAGCGCAGCGTGCCAAAGTTCCTGCTGCTTTGCAGGACGGCACGTACTGCTGTTCAGGAGTTGCTAATTAGCATGGCGCATTAATTTCCTCTATCAAATCTCCTCTATGCTAATGGTATCGTGTGCAGCTGTGAGCCAGAGAAAGAAGGAGAGGGGGAGATAGAGAGACGACCAGCAGCTGAGGTGAATTTTTAATCAAAGCACCTTGAGGTTCTTGACAGCGACAGCCGGGTCGGTGAGGAAACTCTGGCGAACGCTGATCTCGATGCCTGCCTCCTTCGTCCTCTGCTCCAGATCATCCAAAGTCTGCAAGATGAAAGGGAGGGATGGGGGGACAGACAAGGAGAGGTTGGGGGGGAGAGGGGGGAGAAGGATGAGGTTAGAAAGACAGCTGAACAGAGAGGGACAGAGAGAGGTGGCGTGTTGAGATTGGATAGACAAAAGAAAAGCAAGTCCAAACTGACAAACAAAATAAAGAATTTTTAATGTGTAAATGAGAAATGTCAAGAAAGGGATAGATAGTGTGGGGATATATGGCAATCAAGAGAGGCAGCATGGGAAGAATAGATTTTTAGACAAAGAACAAAAGTGGAAAGAAGAAAAGAAGAATGTGAAAAGGGAGAGGAAAGAATGTGAGAGCGGAATCATTAACCTCCATTACAGGAACCAGCCCAAGTGTCATGGTATCGACCGCCGAGCCTGGGAGAGATGTATTGCCTGATCAATATTTCTCACAACCAATACTCCAACAACAAATTACTTCAAAAATCCTCCATCAATCGCCAGGAGAGATTGCTTGAAGGAGCATCGCATAGCCTGAGAACAGAACAGCTCTCATAAACAAACATACAGAGGCAGGCGGGCGATCAGGCAACCAACACTTTACCATAAATGATGCGGCCGAAGTGAGGACATGGAGAAAGTGATGAAAAGCATTGCAGGAGATAAAGGAAAAGAAGAGCCAAGAGTTGGAGATAAAACAAAAGGTGTAAAAATTGAAGGTGAGATGAAGGAGATTAAAGTTACTGACCGAGGTGAAGACCTCGGTGGTCTGCTGGATGGTGGCAATGCGCGTCCACTTCCACTTCTGGAAGAGCTGCACCCTGGTGGGGTTGTGAAGGGTGGCCGACGGGTGCGTGCGGAAGAAGGTGGGGAAGCGCTGGCGGTTGGAAAGAGCCGGAGAGCTGGAGCCGTAAGACAGCTGAGAAACACAAGACATGACAAATGGGAGAAAAATAAGAGGAAACACAGTCACTAAGGCAGGTAGGAGTAAAGGATACAGAGGTTTAGTGGGAAAGGAAACAGAAACAGAAAAATATACTTCTGAAGGTCCTTCAAGGCATCAGTAGTAAACAGACTTCAATCAAAATGTATTCAAATCAGGCCTCTCTTGTTCTCCCCCTGTACACAGTGTTCTTTGATGATGACTGGTTCAAACAGAGAACAACAGAGAGGAAAGCCAGCAAAAAGACAGAGAACCACAGAAACAATCCCCGCTCCCATTTTCTCATTTTCATCCACACACCCTCCCTCCCGCCCTCCTTTAAGCTTCCCTCCGGCTTATCAGGTGTGCCGATAAACTCTGTAATTTCAATAAAAAAAATAACACACTTCACGCAGGATTTCCCACGCATACATTGCCATGAAATTAGGATGACACATTCTACTATTACAAACAGAGCAAATACAAAAAATTATCTAATTATTGTTGTCGCAAACAGTAGCCCCAGTGATCATCTGTTTCTTTCATTTGGACTCATATAATTTGAATTCGCAGGCACAATTCCCACAAGAGGCAGACTGCTAAGATATGCGTCCAAATCAGGGGGGAAGATGGATGGTGGGTAATGCCAACCGAAACAGTGAGAAGACTGTTCCTCAAACAATTAGTTTCACAGTGGCAACTCAAGATAAAATCCTCGACAGGTCTCCTTTAAAATGAGGAACCTGGCGTTTAGGGAACCATTACAGACAGAGACAGCCTATCCTGCTCCCCAGCTCTCATCTCCGCCCCATTACCGATACAGCTCTGGGATTTTCACCACTGGGAGTGAAAGGTTGGCTTGATGATAGATGTGAAATGTCATGTACAATGTGGACTCTCCACAATAACAAATCCCAGTGGGCACAGACAGGTTGACGGAGGCATCAAAACAAAAGAAGGGAAACTATACAGGAAGCGACAGCTGATTTGGGTGTGGCAGTGAAAGATCTAGAGAAACCAGCAGCAGATTTGCTCAATAATAAACATGAAAGGTAATATACATGAGCACATGCAGTGTGACGGGATCAAATGACAGAAAAACATATTTGGTTGGCTATATTCTATACTTTTTATTGTTAACAAACCACATGAAACTACCAAACACAACAATAGATGTAACTGACTAACAAGTGCTGCTTGTATGAAAAAAAAAAAAAAAAGAACTTCAATAGCTTTTTTCTGCTCCTGTGCTCCAGCGCTCCTGTAATGGTTCTACACACAGAGATGGGGACTCACAAGCAGGATTTAAGAGGCAGAGCAGTTCATCAATCAATCGTTTACTTAGTAAGAGTTCAATGCAGAGTTTGGCAACAGATAATGTGTCAGCGAGGGCAAACTAAGCAGGCAACAGACTGGCATGGAACAGGAACAATGGCTGGAACGCTTAGCCTGGGTGGTACGGTGCATTAGATAACTGGGGAAAGAGGGCTGGTATACAGGGCAGGTAATGAGGGAATAGGGAACATGTGTGCTGGTGGCTGAGAGGATCAGGTGAATGAGATTGGTGTAAATACCCTGAGGGCAACTATAGGGCAGGTGGGGGCAGGTATCTGATGATTTAAATGTGCAATATAACTAACAGAAATAGCCACTGTGACAGGTCCAATGAGACAAACCATTGCCCTGGGTGACGTGTTCCTTCATTACAGCCATTGCAGTTCATCTTAAGTTTATCCACAGCCATGCTTTGTGGCTTTGTGAGGTTGTATGTACACACAGCATGCTAACATCCTCACAATAACAATGCTGTTGTTTAGCAGGTAATAATTACCAGATTCCCTGTCTTAGTTTAGCCTGTTGTCATGCTAACACTTGCTAGCAATAAACAAAAAGTACAGCTGTGGCTGATGGGAATGTCATTAGTTTTGTAGGCAGGCCTATTTAATCATAAATCAACAAATTAAAATTTTGACCTGATGATGGCACTAGATGAAAAATCAGGGTATAAGCTGTCTAGGAACCATGGATGTCTGTGCTATTTTTAAATACTTAAAACTGAATGGGTCAGATTTGACCTGGTGGTGGTGCTAAAGGAAAAGTCAGGATCATCAGAGTGTGGATAAAAAATACAGTTATACTATTTATCTAATGTAATAATATTTACTTATTCTAGAGTAATTAATCTTGATAATTCACAGAACACTACAGAGTTACTGTTCTTTATTCTATTTGAGTGTCAGTATTCAGACTAGTCTAAAATACCTCCAAAAATGTCCATGACATTAGTAAAGGGTCTATCTAACACAAAAAGTATTGAATATATATTTTATAAGGAGCCATTTTGGACACAGACACCCTTTGACATGTTGCTGTTGTAATTATAAATGTCAATCTTCAGTGCTGTGAGCACCACAAGTTAAATTTGAATAAACTCAATTGTAGGAAGAGGCTGAATCATTCGCAGGGGCCAATATCTCAAACCCTAGACAAATAATAAAACAGCAACAAACTACCATGGCTAAATACGACTAGAGGTAAGTGAGAAAGCGTTATTTCTTTTTGTAATTTGAGTTAATAGACCCTTTAAAGTCACCTACTCACCAACAAAACTGAGGTGCTTTCAGCTTGGCCTTGACACAATTCATAGTTTATAAAATCTAGTTCTTGCAATAGTTTCATTAGCTACATGTCGGGTAGAGTGTAATAATTGAACTGAAGTCAAAAATTTAAAATCAAACTAGGAGCTGCAAGCTTCGGTAACACTCAAATAAACCCTCATCAGACAAGAAAGCAGTGACAAAACTGAAATGGAGCAAAAAGCTGTGCTGTGGCAGAAATAGACAGATGTAGCAGCACTCTGCAACAGACAGGCGAAGTTCCACATCGAAGCTTCCCAAAAACCACAAACAATATCTCTTGATTCTCAGCTCCTCAGATGTCCCGTAGCCTTGTAGTAGATCAATGCCCGTCTATGGCTTACAGTGCTTTTAGAAAGGGAGATGGTAGATCAAATTAGCACTGTGCCAAGAAGAACCGATCGAGTGCCCCTCCTTGATCAGCGTCCAGAAATGGAGGTTGCTTTTGCCTCCCCGGCGCTCTGATGAGCCGTGTTTGACATGCGAGGAGGTTCTTGCAGGCAGGCAGCATACAGAAATAATTGAGTGTGGCGGTTAGGAGGTTGTGCCAGTGGTGGCGTGTAGTAAAGAGAGACAGATCCCTTTGTGTATGGGGAGAATCGACTGCTCGAGTTGAGGGAGCGAGGCGGAAATGAAGAGTGGGAGAGAAAGACGGTAGAGATGGAAAGGAGGAAGGAAGGAAGGAATGAAAAAGAGGCTGAAATAGGGCAGACCAGCTCCAGGCAGCGACAGCAGACAGAGAAAAGAGGAAGGCAAAGAGTCAAAAAGTGGAAAATAGTTTTTAATGACGAGGAAAGACAGGGTGACAAAGAGAGAAAGACCATAATTGAGAAAGAGGGGTAGATGCCAACCACTAGAACTGATTGTTCTCGATGACTAATCTCTGGATGAAACTTCAATTATGGGACAAAGCTAATAAGCAGAGCACTGTGAGTGACAGAGAGGCAGATCAAGAGAAGACGGATAATGAGATAAACAAAATAACTGATGAAAGCATAAAAGGCTGAAATATTTTAAAAAAATAACAGCAGCAGATCTCTTGCTGATTTAGAGATCTGGGATGTGTTTGTACTTACAGTATTATCATGCAGCATGTGAGGTGAAGCAATATGTTTGGTCTTGTACTTAGTGTTGCTGTCAGTGCAGTATTGTTAAAATGTCTTGTAAAATAAATCACTGATTAAAAGCAGTGTGAAGTATTTTATAATCAATAAACAACTACAGCATTGATTTTGGGAACTTAGTATAATTACCGCAAGTCCAAAAGATCATAATTTTGTCCAACAGCGTCTGCAGTACATTTTACATTGTTTACAATCTTACAAACTGAGCTAAAGTTTTTGCAGTCAGTGTCAAGGTTTCTTATCAGCTCATATCTCTCTCTCACTCTCTATCTCTATGCTATATGGAACAAAGGTCCACAAGAGACAGAGATATGGGACAAGTAGCAACATTGCCTTCTTCGCTGTTTGTCTGGCATCTAGCTCTTGTTCCCTACGGAGGATCAGTGCAGATATATATAAGTCACTTTGGACAACAGGGTCTCCAAAATAAATGTAATGTCTTTGTGAGAGAAAGAAACAGGTTTTATGGCTAATGTGGTCCTAATTTTAAGACAGAAGTTCTAAATTGTTTCAAATATGGTCCCCTTAGGGTCAGGTTATGCTTAAGAAGAAATAGGATTTTGTCATTCAACCACCTCTAAAGACAAAAGTGTAGTAGTTCCGAAAGGCCAGAATGTGGGAGGGTGAAAAGCCGGCCATTATGAAAAGGGGAAACATGTGATAATCATTTAAATATGGGGGTAACTGTAAACATGTGTAGTAGACAGTAGAAATGTAAAGATATATCGTGATAAAAAATATGTGAAGATTAAAATCAGTGAGCAATTGGGTTGTGCACATAAAAAATTTGTGGAAAGAAAAAAGGTGGTTGAGAGGGAAATTCAGACCTTGTTTACTATCTCACTTCCCCACACCTGGGCAATCGCTGTGTGGAGCAAAAAATTTACCCAACAATTATTGAGGTGTTTTTAAAGTTTGTAATTTTGCAATTGCAGCCACAAAAGTCAATTACCATTATCTTAAACTGTGGCAAAGATTCAAGTCAGCAAAGGACTTGTGTCTTTTTTTAATTGTTCCCAATGAGGAGGGAGCGTATGTGGCAGCATGCGTCTGTCTAGAGAAGAAGCGTTGCACCCAGCGCTCCGCCTTTTTTGTGCAGCCGCTCTTAGCGTTCTAGTTGAAAATCTGCAAACTTTTTAAAGAGGCACCAGTGTCATCACTGTCACTCTTTTTCAGGCAACCAATCATTAGATGGGGGACTTGTCACCCGGGTAGGCAAGAAAATGGAGGAGCAGCTTGTTCTGACCGTGTCTGTCTATGCTATGTCAGACAGATATATCATAACAGAGAAAAGAAAGAAACAAATTAAAAGAAAAAACTATGTTGAGAGTTTTCTACCACATTTGGCTGTCATCTATGGTCACACTAGCTGTCTGTCTTTCTCCTCTGCTTGTTTGGCCGAGGGCGGGGGGCTCAGCTCCTACACACACATACACAGAGCGGACAGATGCTCGCAGTGGAGACCGGAGAGTGCACTGCAAAAACCCTTGATCCCTGCTTTACCCAGCGCCCTGCCATTATTTATCTGTCACAAAAAACCTCTTCCTCCTTCCTTCCTCCCTAACTGACTCAGTAATGTCAGTAATACATCAATATCTACCAAATTTTAGCTAACATTAGCCATAAACTATTAGTCAAGTAAGGCTGTAGCAGCAAAATGGGAGTATAGAGAATTAAGCATGCATTGTATTGTTTATGGCTTTTGTAAAAGTTACATAGTGTTCAGACATGTCAGACATGGCCTTGATGAGTTTGTTCACTCTGTTATATCTGTGTCCTTCGCTACTCTAATTAATCTTATTTGACTTAAAAGTTTACCCAAATTACTGTATACACATTTTCTCACTCATCCCTGGTGATGTCCAGCCGTGGAGATTTGTAGTAAGGTTTTATGTGTTCAGGTTTTGAGAGAGGAGATTTCTGCCTCCACCTAATCCACCTGGAGGTGAGTCCACATATCTCTCTGTGAACTATTGTCATTGTCAATTTTCTACCAAATAAATAGTCCCTATAAAAACTGTTGACAGTGTGCTCTGCGAATTTTCACTGGAAAGAGATGTTGCTGTTGAATTTCATTTCTCATACTGTGAATCCCACAAACAAACTTCCATTCATTTCCATTGTCTTGGGAGTGAGCAGAAATCTCAGGGACAAATATCTCAGCACCAGAACCCATAAAACTATCTGCATAACTGGATTTGACTAGAAGTAAGTGAGAAAATGTTTTCTTTCTTTTGCAATCAGGGTTAACCGACCCTTTAACCTAATGTATTATTTGGCAATTAGTTAGTTAGTTAGCTGTAGGCTACAACTTAAACTGCCTTTTTAAGCCTAAATTTGAATACGTGTTGCCAAATTGGCGTTCATATTTACAATTTATCCATGTATGTACAGAGCAATCATTGGATTACTTTGATATTGCAGAAAACATACAAACATGATCATTCTTAGGCAAGTTCTGGAGTTTTAAGGAGCCTCTTTTTAGTATGGTTTGGGTTCAAATGGATTCAAAACATGGGTTGAAAGTGTGTACTTTGATACAAACAATAAAAGAAACCCACCACTATGAGGTTCCACATGCGAGCAGCTTCGGCCACCAACGTGGAGACGCCACTGCAGCCGGGCATCAGGACGATCTTGATGGGCTCGGTGTACAGAAGGTCATACAGCAACTTGGTGGCTTCTCCTGGATCACACTGGAAGGACAAAATGACAAATTGTTAAATGGATGGACAGATGAATAGATGGATGAGTGGATCAATAATAAGGAAGACAAATGAATAGAATTGATCGAAAGAGAGAGAGAGAAAAGGGGGAGAGACGGACATGGAGGAGTCAGAGGGAGGAAAATAGGAATGATAAGGGTGAGGGAGGCAGATGGAATGAGAACAGACTGGGTGAGGAAAAGGAAGAAATAAATAAGCAATAAAGTGTGGGAGATGGAGGCGACTGTAAACAAAAAACAGAAAGAAGAAAACAGTAGATAAAGAAAAAGGGAAATGACAGAAGTAGCAGGGAGTGACAAAAAGGACAATGCAAATGTGAAGAGAAAAGACAAGTAGGAGAAAGAAAAGGACACGTAAGAAAATAGAAGGAACAAAACAGACAAGGTCAAGATAAACTAAAGGAAGATGGCACAAAAGGAGCAGGAAGCAGCACAAAAGTAGATGCAAATATGGAGAAAAAAGACGAGCTGGAGGAAGAAAAAAATTATCCGCACAGAGTTTACGTCCAAACACAGCCAGTGCGTCCACAGATCAAGACATAAAAACAGAAAGACAGGCCGAAAACCAAACAAAAGTGAGCCCGATGACCAAAACAACAGCCATCACAAGTCATTACAACCCTCCAATAAAGTCATTTGCAGCATGTCTAGGTTGGCGAGAGGGTGGCTGGAACGATCCATCACCGCTCTGTCAGCCAGATTACCGACAGGCCATCACCACCACAGTGTTCATCAGAGTCACAGATAAACTGGCCTGACACATCTAATGATTCAGCATGGAAGAGCAGATATGGCTCGCAAACACAAATACACACATGCACATTTTAAAAAATACACCCCAGATGAGTGTCACAAACAATCACACCGCGGCAGGTGACGCCGACAGCCGATATGGCTCCTAATTGGGGTGTTTGTCTCAACGGCTGAATTGTCTCTTTGAGGCAGCCCTGTGAGTTTTCTGAAGAGGTAATCACCACTCAGAATCAAGGAATATGTGGAATAGCCAGGCTTCTTATTGAGTGACGTGTTTTCCATTAACTCTCGATTCAGTGGAATTATAGAGGTGTCATGTCATCGCAGAAAAAGTCAGGCTGTTTACATGCACTAGATAATTCAATCTGAACCTTATTAAAGTAGAGCTCTGACTGCTGACTTCTTCACATTAAAGTCTCTATATGTTTTTTTTTATTGGTCTTAATCAAGCTTTGATTTATTGAGCCACACTAGACTTTATTATTATTTAAAGTCAAGGTAATCGTTGTAGACTGCAGAAAATAAGAGTATCTGTAATGTCTCTGGCATAGGCACCGATTCAGTGGGTGCTCGGGAGCTTGGGCACCCACAGGGAAATAATACTGTGAGTGACCATATCGTTAGAAAGGGCATAGCAGAGAATAGGCACAACAAAGTTTTAACTCTGAGCAAAACCAGTGTCCATTCCTATATTTGTCATTGTTTGCACTTTGCATCAACTTGTGAACCTCTGCTGTCTGACCTTATTAGCTCTAACAAGCGTACAATAATATTCAAACCCAAGGCCATTAACACAGCCTGTCCACTGGCTTACCACTGAAACCCTTGTTTTTGCCAAAAGATGGCATTGATTTATGTCCAAATTTGGGCTGTAGTGTGAAGCTCGGTGGAGTTAAGGTCAGGCAAGGAACTGTCAATCAGACCTTCATATCTTCTTAAAGTTGGGACTGGGATTGGAGTCTTGATTGGGAGTCTGATTATTGTTTGTATCCACCGACAAGGACAACATGAGAGCTCTCCAAAAGTGATGCCAAGATATTGCAATCTCCCTCTGGTGGCTGTCTGCAGTATAGGTCATAAAGCCTGCTGCCTTTAGCAGATGGGACATGGGGCAAACTAAAATATCCAAGTACACTTCAAATTCGTTTTTCCCAAAGATGGTTTCTGTCATTTTATCTAGATTTTATCACTGCCAGCCGGGCAGCAAAACGTATGGGCCGGACTTCAATACACCCGGAATCTGGGATATGATAAGTGGAACCGCCTTTAATGTGCGCTGCTTACGAGAAAGACTCACTTACTAGCTGAGATTCCATTCACTTAAAAGAGTACTTCACCGATTTAGCATTGCCCTCCTAATATCACTGTTGGACTCATATATCGCCATAGCTGTGCATAGCACAAACAACAGCTTTAACTCATTTGTTTCTTACTTGTGCAGCAGAACATAGGACAAATACTTTGAATTCTTCATATATTGTATCATTTTGTGGGGCCAAGAACATTAAAATGTTTTTATATTCAATGTACTCTCAATATAAAGAATATAAACCTATTAAAGACTGAGTCATGCAAAAACCAACAACAAAACAAACACAAAACAAAAATTTTTGCACTCCAGCACTTTATTATTATAGTATTATAGTATGTAAGATACATATCAATAGATTAAAGTCTCGCCTTGTGATAATTTAAAAAAAAATATTCCAGGTACACTTACAGCAGAAACTGAAACCTTAGTAATATGTTATCTCTCTACCTTCAAAGCTGTCTGGCAGTCCAACAATGTAATAAGTCCTTGAAAACTTGGTGTCCAAATTCAGCGCAAGGGTCCAAAGATCAAAGATAGGTAATTTGTTTTAATTTAATACACCACCACAAAGAGCAGGGTGGCTTGATCACCAAAACCTGCAGCATAGAAAGTACAAGAATAGCTGGCTTTTATGGATTTGAACTCACTGACCAACTACAAAACAAATCTGGACAGGAATCCCATTACTTGTTGACATTAAAATACTGTCCTAAGCTGACTACTTTAAATAATTAAGTGCATGCCTGTAAAAGTACTCGATGAGCACTCCATGCACTGCTGACCAATTTCAATTCACTGGGTTAATATCATTAATATTGACCGGGAACGCAGCTTCACAATATTGATGTCATATAGGCAACCTTGTGCAATGCAGGGCCGAGAGGCTGCAGGTTTTTCTTCCGATCAATCACTGCACCAGCTGATTTCACAGATCACTTCCTCCTCTCTGGTGTAAAATCAGCTGCTGTAGTTGAGCTGGATTCAAACCTGCAGCCTTTTGTGCGTCCAAAGCACACGGTTGTTTACTCCTCATACAACAAACTGCTGTGTTATCGCCGTTTGATGGAGATGCAGATTGACACACGGACCTTTCTAAATACTCTCTTTCCCGAAGGTTGTTTGTGTTCTCTGTCACTGTGGCTGTGGGCTGGTGGCATGCTGAGAAGAAGCTTGTTAGCTTTCTGGTGTTAACAGTGTTTTAACTATACTCTGATGAGCAGTAATTCAGTGCCTACGCTGATTAATTAATTATTTAATCAATTTATGATTACCATGAAACATCGCAGCTTATAATGATAGCTTGTTTCCATACATTTTCCATATTACGTGTGTAGGAATTAGAATTAAATCAGAAAGTGCAGATTCTGACCTTGTAGAGGTTATTTAAGTATTGTCAGCTTCACTAAAAACAGAAGAATTATAACTGAATGTTTGCTGGTAAAATATAATAAAATGCATTAGTGAGTTATACAGCTTTATTGGGTGGGAAATCAACGGCAATCTCCAATGAGACACTTAAAAAGCTTTTAAACCCCACACTCAACACATATAAAATAAGTCTCCCCTAGATCTTTGAATGTAAGATGTCAACATTTCCCCTTAGTTTACAAGATTATATGTAATCTCAAATAAAGACTTAAATTTAAAGTCTTAAAACAGAGGAGCAGAAGCAACAGCTTGAATACATTCAGTTGTTTTACCTCTTACAGTTACTTCAGATGTATAATGAAGGGGGTCTATTGAACGCAGGTGCAAAACAGCATCAGCCTCCATAGTTGAAACTTACTTTCATTCAAGTGTTTCTGCGAGCGTAAGAAATGAAACCCTTGGTAACAAAATGCGAACACGGCGCAGTAAGAGGTGAAAAAGCACACAGTGTCCCTTATGAAAAAAAAAATAGTGAGAGAAAACAGGGGTGTTGGCAGGTATGCAATAAAGGCTGAGGAATCTCTGCTATTCTTGGAGGTCTGTCTTCTACAACCCTCTGGGGCCATCACCATTTCCACTTTCATTTCTAGCCCTCCTTGGCTCATAAGAGAGCCTGGGTTGACGGCCCCCAATGCCATTCACATATACACACATTTACCAACAGACACACGCACAGATTGTGTGTTTACGCAGCCATAAAAATGCACTCGTACAGCCACACATATATGACACAGTATAACACCTCTGTCGCTGTCCTCTGTGCTGAAATTCCCTGAGCCAATATCAGTGTTGCCGTTAACGTGCCCATGTTGCCTTTCCAATCAGTCAAATTCAGCTTGCGAGAACCTATGAAAGAAAATTAAGGTTCTCGGGGCTGGGAAGAACGGAAGAAGATACTGGCTCGTCATAATATACTCTGTAATTACACTCCAGATTGAATAATATAAAAACAGAGCGAAGAGGGGATAAGATAAGGGCCTGGGGACAGCCTATATATTGAATCTCAAAGCACGCTCAGCTACATCTCCTAATTTCCTCATAATTACGTCTGGCACCCCACTCCGGGCTTGTATGCCAGTGGACATGCATGAGAACCAGTGATGAATACTGGTTATGCCACAGTGGATGAGAAATTGTGTCATGGCTGCCAATTAAAATAAAGGGCGGAAGTGAGGGAAGCACCTTGTTTCACCATTTCTCTGTATCTCCACTGTCTCACTCCATCACTGTTAATAATTGATCAAAGTTTGCAGTCTCGGCTTTGATATATCCATGGCAACGGCCTGCGCGGAGAGTGTGTGTCTGCACGTAGCGTGTGTGTTACTGTGTGTACGCGTCTGTCTGTGTGTGTAGATCTCAGAAGGCTGTAAATAGTCTGATGCTGTCGCCAGAATAGCCAGAGAAACAAGCCGTTCTGCTACCACAGGGTATCTGCATCCATTAAAAGGACAGGCTGGGATTAAGTGTTGAGCTTCATGAATATTGTATGATGTTGAACAAGCTGAGGACATCGCTTGATACTCCAAACCTTAATGGTCACAGACTGGTGTATGTGTGTGTGCATGTGTAGTGTGTTTAGGCACCTGTTTGCCAACTTTAATGCCATCTTGTTTTCAGTACCGCTGTTAGACTTTAAAGACGCAATAAAAGTTCCTCATCATGATAAATTCAGGTGAAGAGAGTCTGATGCATAATTATGCTTCTCCAGCCTTGATCTTGAGATCCAAGCAAACAAAGGGCCAGTTACGCCCCTTGTCTTAATCTCTCAGTTAAACAAAGAGTTTTACAACCTGGAGATTTGTTCTCTGACCAAACAAGAATGAGGATGTAATGAATGGATGTAAATATGACAGCTAATTAATCCCTTTCTTATAATTGCTTTTTCTGCCTTTCTGAGGGTAAGATCCTCATTACTATTCCAGCCAGGTGAAAAAATGTTTGCAATCAGAAGGTTAAAAAAAACTAATTCCAAACACACCGTACCCAGAGCAGGAGCAATAAAATCCCCCCTTGACTTAATTCAAGGAATTAACCAGCATCACTCAGACAATGTTATACCAGCCTCTTTGAGCTGTTCTATTCAAAGGATCTGCATCTATTTCTTGAGCCCGAGGCACCAGCGACTCCTGAAGCACGAGGAGTGATGTTTTCCAATCCCTATGAAATCTGTTCATGCAATTGCTTTATCTTTATGTTTATGGCAGCTACATCTGCAGCTGCCTGCTTCACTACACTTGTAATCAGAGGATACACACACACACACACACACACACACACACACATTGGATCTGTTTAGCATTGGATTGCAAAGAACAAGGTGTATGCATAACAGAATACGAATAAGCATGCACTGTACTATCAGCTCTGCATACATCCAGCAGCATATGAATTTGCACACATATTTTCACAGAGCTGAAACCTTATTTGTTTCTGTGGTTTGCTTCAAGAGTAACTGTGTTGCCATGCCAACTCTCCCTCTCTCGCTCTCTCCTCTCTCACACACACACACAAGACACCCACACACACACACTCGCTCTCTCTCTCCCTGCTATTCTGTTTAACAGGATTCCAATGCAGAGCCGTGTACACCAATCAGAATAAAGCTCGTAGCAAATTTCTAACCAGTCCCAGTACAGTTAACTGTTTGGTGCCACCGCCACTCTCCAGGCATCTGTCCTGCAGCATGATTGATAATAACCCTCGGGAGGGGAGACAGAGGGGATATCAGTAATTGTTTTCATTTGTCTCCACTCATCCAATTGTTGAGGAAAAAAATGGTTCCTTTTGGAGAAAAACTTTCAGAATAGCAATTAGAGCATGTAGCAACAAGGCGCAAATAAAACAGTTTTTACAAAAATAAATAATGTGCTCTTTGATTAAAGTCTGTCAGGGTAGTGGGTGGTAAACTGGGGCAGCGAGGGGAAATGAAAGCGGTCGGGGGGCGGATATTGGATTTATAGTGGTTGATAATGCTGACATTTTAAAATACCACCATGATTAATGATTGATGAGCAACAAGCAGGAGGTGTGTTTGTTCATTTAGCACAAACCAGCTCTGTACAGGGCATGGCAGCACCCTTTGTTAGGCAGAGTGAGGACTTGAGGATTGGTTATCAGCAGGGTGACCTTTTGTGAAAGCTTGAGATCTGTGACTTGGGAAAAGGCAGGGTGTTCTTAAAAAGGCAGCCTGTACTGTTGTTATGGCGAAGTAAAATGTATAAAAATGTCATATATACCTGACATGACTCTTGAGAAAACCAGAGCGGAAAATAAAATAAGCTCCATAAAGTCAGAAAACATTGGTTGATTGCAAGAGGAAACATAAAAATGTAACACAGCAGTGATGACATAGGCTGTTCAGCACACTTAAAACGACACAACAGGGTCAGTTACTCCTCGTGATAATTTGAGAGGCAGATCAGTAGATCCCTCACTGACTGACACCACACATCACTTAAGTGCGCACCTCCTCTGACTCTCCTCCACATGCACTCACCATGCTGTCGTAGTGGATGAGCTCCAGCTCGTAGTCAGGCAGGATGTCGCTCCTGTTGTTCACCAGGTCCAGGGCCATCTGAGCGGAGGGCATACACGCCTGGCCGCCTGGCCAACCTCCGCTCATGGGGAACAACGCTCCGATGTACAGCTTCTTCTTGCCTGCGGACGGCCGTGGCCAGAGGAGGAGAAGGACGATGAGAGTTGCACGGAGGAACATCGCATGCCCGCGGGCTGCGCGAGTTGCCCGCGGAGGACTTCTGCAAATGACCAGCATGGTTCAAGGTGAGCTGAACCGGAGCAAGGTGGCCTCGGTGCTGCAGTGGGATCGAGCCGGGCAAAGCTTGTTATTTTACGTGTGAATTCTGCAACTAAAGATTTAAGTGAAGTCAACACGTGTCCTTAGAGCGGGTTTTGGATTTTCTGTTGAGCTTTGCAGGTATCGTGTCACCAAACTGTTTTACTTTAAATTGCAAGTGTTTAGCGAGGAGTAAATAATTTAGTCAGCGTATAATGTAGCATAATGCATGGTTAATTATAGATGGCATGCTGGATATTTTCGGGACAAAGTCAAGCACAGTTCAGCCTTCACTTCGCAGAGCTCGTAGCGATCATGTGAGGACACGGTGCCGCTCTCCTCGAGATGCTCATCAGTCAAGTTTCAAACGAACCTCCATCCTGCAGTCCAACTCGTTTCTATGCGATTCCACACCAGCTAAACTAACGCGTCGCTTTTTTTTGCTCGCAATCAATCATGAATATTGGACCGCGCGTCTCTTACTCACGACTTTTACGCACAAAAAAAAAGGACGCGCGAATTAGATCAGACGCCGGAGTCCGCGGAGAACACGTCAAACGAGTCAAATGACTGTGGATTGGGAGCTGCGGGTAAAAAAAAACGAGTGGAGTGTGAACTGAGAGCTGAAGCAGCGGAAATAGCAGGCTACATCTCTCCCACCCCCCCTTTAACGCAGCCGTATTCCAGCAGATGAAACGATATGCCGCGGAAAAGCAGGCGCGCCAGAGCTCTGCGTCTGATCCACTGCAGCACCGGCTGGCTGAGTGTGAGTGAGAGAGGGAGAGAGAGGAGAGAGTGAGCTAGTCTGAAATGTATGCTGAGAGAGAGAGATAGGAGAGAGGAGGGAGAGAGAGAGGGATGAATGGTTGGGAGGGGGCTCTGGGCAAAATTCTCCTCAAAGATTTTCCAATGAGTTACACGCTTAGCTTAACTTAAACAGTACATCCATCCCACAACAGTCCCACACAACCTAATTTTGTCACATTTTCTTTGCATTTGGCTCCTTACTCCCACCACTTGCTGCAGCTGCTGGGTGACACTGTGGGCTAGAGCATCCATAATCCATTTCTGATCAATGAATCAGCACAAGTGGGTAAATATTGACAGTAGCTGGGTTAAAGGCCAACTTAAAAAAAAATGAATATGCAGGGAGTCAGCTTTGTTTTCTCCAAGTACATATTTGGGCTGTGCGAAATGGTTCAAATCAATATCACAACATCAGTGATGAAGATGTTTCTGATATTGATTAATATCGGGATAACTACAACTGTAGGTAACTAATATAAAACAGTCAGCTCTTCACATAAGAACAATATCCAACAGTGTGATCATATATTGTCACAATTTGATTCCACTAAAAGTTGCTTAACAATAATATTTAAGTCTGGCCTAAATTCTCTTTTAGGTCTAGGTTGCATATAAGTAATTTCAGTGGCTACATTTTAATTTTAGTTTCGATTGGCAGCTGGTTTACATTTTCATAATTAAATCATCTGCTCATTCCTTTTTTTTATCAGCTTAATTGTTTAATCTATTAAATGTCAGGAAATAATGAAAAAAGCTGCTATTACAATATCCTAAAGGTGACATCTTCAAATTGCTGGACCAACAGTTTCACATATTCTGTTTACATAAGACAAAGAAAAGCCACAAATACTCAAAGTTCAGAAGCTCAAATACAATCATGTTTGTTAATTATTCTTATTATTGCTTGTAAATGAACTCAAACAATGAATCGACTCAAACGGTCTCATCAAGATATTTGCCGCTAAATTTCCAAAGGAAAAAAAAAGAGACTAGAACACACTGATTGATTTGTAGCCTTTGATAGTGCAAACAAACCAACATTTCTGCTGTGCTTCCTCTAATTGATTACACTTGATGGATGCAGTACTCTAACATACATCTGTGTTTTTTTGCTTCTGATTTGATTATCCTGCATGGATTTTAGATCCTCTTCAACCAATTATTCAATTGTACGCTATTGTATGTGTTTTCTGTGAGGACACAGTAGCGTTGAAGGGTTTGTACTATTAAAGTCTGCAGATCAATCAGTGTGCTCCAGTTCCTTTTTTCCCTTTGGAAGTGTGCTGTCCTCGAGCTGAGGAGCACCTGATTCAGCTGCATATTACTGGAAGATGTGTGGAGAAACCTTTTTTAAGTTGCTGATAAATTAAATGAATATCTAAATATTGACAAATTGATTCATTGACTTGTTTGTAGTTGTAGCAGATCCAATTAAACAAATGCATCACAGTCATTGAGCACAGAACAACATAATGCTGTTTAGCATGTAATTAGATCAGTGCAACCAAGTGCATATAGATATATATTTTATATAAAGATGAATCAATGTGTCCAATGAACCAGTGGGGTAGTAGTAAGTAGGGATGTATAACTGTGATATGAATGCAGCAATGAGGTTAAACATCAAGCTACATTAAGCTAGTGTGTAATATGTAATGAATAAAACAAAACCTTTATGTAGAGTAGGATATGATCAGAGTTAAATGCAGGTCATAGGAAGAACCACTGCAGAAGGCATTGGGCCCTATGTAGCAGCAGTGGCGGTATTGCAGGAAAAGTAGAGCAACATTAAGAGTCTATAGCCATGCTAGCAGTTCTGTGAGGATGCACTCAGGAACAGCGGTGCTTTGAAAAAAAATGCTAATGTCAGCCATGCTAATATGCTCACAATGACAATGTTAGTGCTGACATTCACTGTCTTAGTTTAGCACTTCAGCATGCTGGTGCTAATTATCACTAAACCCAAGAAACAGCTGAAGCCGATGGGAATGTCTTTAGATCTAGTCACTAAATCCTAAACACTGGTCCTTTAAATCAATAACTCCATGCTTACTGGGCTAGCACTATGGATTGAATGAAGAAGTGGACAAAGCTTCCAGGTCTGAAAAGTGAAGCCAATCTGTGATTAATATATTCTAATGGCTGGAAGAGGGGGCACCTAATATATTTCTATGAGAAAATTAGCCTTCCTCTCACTTGATTTATTAACTCAGTAAACCTTTTCCAAATGAGTTTATGATGGTCTCAATCAAAATGGTTTCGTGTCTTCTCAAATACAGTGTGATGTTCATTTTGTAAGTTATGGTCCCATTTAGAGTATATATTAGACAATAAAGCGGGCTGTGCTTTAGGGTGTGGCTACTTTGTGATTGACAAGTTGCTACCGCTGCTTGTCCTTGGGTTCTCAGTCAGATCCATCCCTCGCTCCTCCCCATCTTCACCCTCTCATCCAAATACAGCCACTACTGGCTACCAAAAAAGCAACATGGCGATCCCCACAACACCAAACTCAAGGCTTCAAAACGGTTGTCCGCAAACCAAACCAGTGACGTCACAGTGGCTGCTCCCACTTCCAGTGTGTAACTCTGCTCTGTAACCACTTCTGCTAATCCATAGACCATTTCATTTCTACCTCCCCTCCACGGCCAAGTCTATAAAATGCTACAGAAGCTGCTTTGAGAAATCGGCAAAAAAATGGGGCAGGCGGTATCAATCATAGCTGATTTTATTTGCTTTCATTTCAAGAGTGGGAGCAGTGATGTAGTTAGCGTAGATAAGAGAGAGACTGGACTCCCTGCGCACCTTTTTGAACCCTCTGTTCAAATCCGACACAGTCCCTACAGTATCTCTGACACACAAGGACATGAGAGCATGCACACAAACACATACTCTGACACATCGACATGTACACACATCGATTCACACACAATGGCCTTTAAGCCTCTATAGTTAAAACTGATCATTCAGCTGGTTTTCACTAGTGTCCTTCTCTAAAATGAACCTTTAATGTGTTTGGAGATACATCTGCCAACATCATTTGATACTGATGAATCCTTTGAGGAATGTTATAACTAAAGGTTAACAGCTTGTTATCTAAGAAAAAATAAATAAAAAAGTCATTGTGGTGCCAACAATACTTTCTTCCATTTTCAGTGCAGCCTATTTAGATGATTGACAACGCTTTTATTCTATTTTATGCTCTTGTTTTTCCAGTTCCTGTGTAAGCGCTCTAATTGCAATGTAATGTTAGTGTTAAAGTTCCCTTTGAAAATTACTTATTGCAGCAATTGAGAAGAAGACCATTATTTCTCCAGTCTAAATTAAAAACCCTCTGTAGTTAGGCAATGGAATATGACTATTATATAACCCTGGTTCATTACCCAAATCTCATTATCTGGATATCTCCATGTAGCAGAGAGCTATTCAGATCCAGCTGCTAACAAGCCCTCACAGGCTGAGGTGAGTGTAGTGATCATCTACTGGCATTTGCCTTCCACTTCCACCTCCTCATCCTCGCTGCCACCCCATGACCCATCCAACGCACTATCAATTATTCAGCCGTGAACTTTATGTGCTGTTTCGCTCCATAAGCCTACAGCCAACACAAGCAAGACGCACCAGCATCGGGTATTACAGTGTTAACAACCCCCATGGTGGCAAATGCCACATTCAGAAGAGACATTAGCTGTGGCACAGCCTGGAAAATATGCAATAGAGACATGAGCACTGTAACATGTTGCTGAGCCGCTTTAATGAGGGCCTTGTACTGTACATTTGTGTGTCTGCAGTTTGCACACTGGGCATCCTTCAGGATAATGGCCTGTTTCTCTTTTGGCAGATGTGTTAGTGGGAAAATACTTCTTTCAATGTTCCCCTTTTAACACAATCGGCAGACTACATTGTCCTCCACCTGCAGAGCAGATTTTATTCAGAAGGCAATCCAAATCATTGTGAAAATGCTCTGACAAAATATATTGTGTAAAATCAATCAGACTGTTTCAATGCCCAAGATGCTGATATTTTGTAGACGCAGGATTTTTTCCACTATGCTGACGGTACAAGTGCAGAGATCAAACTTTGGTCAAGGAGTATTTCAAAGTCCATTCTTTGTGTCTGCTTAGTACCAGATGGGCAAAATCAAGCAGCATGTATACGTTACAGGAACAGTATTTTTGGAGTCACAACCCTTTATAGGAGTATAACTTGTTGAAAAATATAATTCATCATGCAGTAAAAAGCTAGCTTCGATACAGTATCATCATTGCATAATTTGTCCAGCAGCAGCACAATGTACACTACCTTGTTTCCGATACTCTGCAGCGCTGCAGTTATTAGAGTAATATATCATGCCTGAGAATCAGGGTGGAGGGAAGTTAAGAAAAATAAGTTCATTGTTCAACTGAGAATATCCTGCCTCTAGGGCACTACTTTGTTGCAAAATTTAGTAACCAATAGTGTATTATTATAAATATAGCTGTGAAAAAATTAATACCTTCTGCTTTATCACAAATAATGTTTTTTTTATATAATTTTTTTAATGGTAAAATATTAGTAAGCAGCAGCTTTTAAAATCATATGCTGCCACGTGCAAGGCTCAAATTAAGACACAACTTAACTTCTTTAGGCAATCTTGACTGGTTGCATAATTTGACATCATATGATACTGTACTGATTACAAATTTATATTCTTATTTTCAACAAATCCCATGGAAAGACCAAACCAACAAAGAACTGGCTCAATTATACTTTTACTCTTAATGTCTGTGTTGCCAAAGTCTTGTTCCCCTGTGCCATAGAACTCAATTACTGTCGAAAAAAAACCAACTGAAAACACATGAATGAGCCTTCATGCGCCTTGATGAGTCAATCCCGCATAGACTGTCCTGCAGCTCTAAATACTCCCTAGTGCACCAAATGTATTA